CACTACAATCTCTTGCCTCTCTTGAACGTACCAGTGGTACACTGCGCTAATCAGAACCACGTATTGAAGCCTATGATGGTCATTATTAAGGTCCAGCTACAAGCAATCTGTCACGATCACGCTGATTTCCGTTGCCGGCCCTACCGTTATTGCAGAATCTGTGAAGTTGTTCCTGATTTTGTTCCTGATGCATCAGACAGCATCAGGAACATCAAAATGCATATTTAACTTTGATTTCACGGCCCTCGCCTCGTGTGCCAATGAGTCCACAAAGTAGGACGGGCACGAGTTTGAAAAAAAAGAGTATGCGTTGCTAGCTAATTGAAGATTGTGTTGAAAGCTTTGCATTCACTATAGTATTTCTGTCTTGCTACTTCTGTTGAAAGGAACTGTACCCTCCAGATTATTCTATTTTCTCATCTTTTATTTTTGTAAAATTTTGCTGAGTACTTACTCGGAATAGGTGGGAGCGCTCGTCCATTTCAGCAGAACAGTCGCGCGGATTCGATCCGCGGTTGTAGGTCTTTGGGTACGCAGTTTGCGAGATCGGCCACATTCGAGTACGTTTCAGAGGATTGCCATGAGAGCTGGGGTACTTTGAAAAGTAGAAATATTAAAGAAAGAACTGATTAATAATGATAAGAGAGTGCAAAATGATGGAGATAACGTTGACGTGGGGCATGTGATGCGACCACGCCGTTTGTCTAACGTAGGCCGATGCCATAGTTTGCGAATCGAGCGAACGCTGGATCCGAGCGTTGCGCCAGCGAATCGAACTTTGGCGAACTTGGGCCAGGCCTTCAGTCCAGGTGTCGATAAAACCGATGCCAGACTCGTCAGAAGGGGGGGGGGAGGTGTAGAGAAAGAGAGACTTCAATCTTCTCATAGCCAAGATGATGCGGAAGTGAGTATGGAGGACCGTAGAGACCACTCAGCATTGGATCCAGGAAGGTAGCATGACGAAACCGCCCCTTACAAAGGATGAGTTATATCTTGAGCCAGATATAGGAAGAACGAGGGTTTTCACGAGTAATTTTTGAGGAAGACAGTACTTAGCGAATCGGTATCGTATTTCTAAAAAAACCTGGGAAGCGACCTCCACGCTTCCTCTCGACGCGCCAATTTTTTTCGATGGAATAGTGTCATTGTTCCGTAAAGGAATACCAACCATGAATACTCCCTAGGGAATTGGGGGGGGGATCCCAAAAATTTCAATATCGGTGCTGCGCAATAGCTGATGGGTTTGTTCTCCCTTCCTGGCGGTCCTCGAAGCGTTTCCACAGTGTGGCAACGTATATTTTTCAAGCTGTATTTCATTTTGAGCGAATACTAGCCCTGCCTAAGGGATTGAACATACTGATGAGGAAATGCTCTGCAATTTGTGAACTTTTTTTCCCAAAATTTGCATCCAAGCGGAAGAGAAGGTTTTCCAAGGAAAGCCGTGACCGCGCGCACAATCCATGGATCAAATCACTGGTCGAATCTTTTCGAAGACCTCCTCTTACGTCATATCGCTTTTACATAGAAGTGTGAGCTGCTGTAGTGCTATGTAGTTTATGTCCAAAAGGTCTTAGCGTTATGGTTGAAAAGGAACGTTTAATAAAACCTTCCACCAGCGCGTTGCCTCACAGCAGAGGGCAAACCAAAGGAACTCTACTTCTCCCTAGCGTTGATCCCGTCTGCAGCATCTTCTGTCGTGACCTTATTTCCGTGAGGTTCTCCTTACGATGAACGTCCTTCATCTTTTCCCTTGAGCTTCCTCGTGTACGCTTGGCTGGATTAGAGATCCATCGCTTTTTATGGGGTGATCCTGTGGCCTCTTGCGCACATGTCCATGTCATTACAGACGGGCAGGTAAGCCGAAGAATTCGAGGTGAGGAAGTCCTGCTCAGGCCTGCTCTGCAAATCTGAGGTGTGGCCTCAAAAATTCGAATTTGGCTTCTCTTGGCAAGCAAGGGAACCGATTTCACAGACCGGTGGGTAGACTGCACTCTCTCTAGCCACTGGCGCTTTGGCTGCTCTTGGCAAGCAAGGGAACCGATTTCACAGACCGATGGGTAGACTGCACTCTCTCTAGCCACTGCAGCTTCTCTACTTCCAACACTGCACAACAACTGCTGAAATTCAAAACTCAACAAATCCGATGTTGGTACCTTCTCCTCCGAAGAATCTGTGGAGACTATTGGGACGCCTCGAATTCCGCTCCGATGTCGTTGATCCATATCCCACTCCATCTCACTAGAATCTCGGAGCTCATGGAGTTTCCCTAAAATTGTTGTTTTTCGTTGAATGGAAAATGGTTTTCTCCGATAAGTGGGAAATCTCATTTTATTAATGCTGGATACACTAGGAGGAATGCCTCTTAAGAATTGCTTCTAAAAATTATACTGTAACCTACCATATTTGACGTGGATGGTAGGCTTGTTGCTCTTTGAAGTGTCGTATTCGTAGCTGTACTCGAGTGTCGTCCCATAAGCTCTCGGCCTCGATGGAAATGCGAACACTGTAAGGGTTTACTAACTTGCGCATGTTTGACGGGGAAGCTCTGCTTGTTGGATTTTAGGTGGAAGCCACGCTTGGCGTGTTAAGTGAAGCTCTCGGGGACGGATCTCGGACGATGAACCGCTAAGGGCACCAAAATCAATAGACCCCTCCCTCGAACTTCCGACCACATCTCCATCGCACCTTTTTTTGCTTGAGACGGAAATAAGGATCTTGAAGTCGTACAGCGAAGTCAACGGAATTGATATACAGGGGGGGGGGCAAAAAAGAGTCACTTTGCCCATGGCGCACATCATCAAATTTTTCGTCGCACAGGATGCCGTTGTTGATGAATGTTTTACGGCAGAATATTCCTTAGGTGTCCCCCATAAGCAGAAGCAGGCCCTCCTTCACTGCCCCCACCGTCTTCAGAATATGACGTCATCTGCCGTCACCGTCGAGCTCAACGAGGCTTACCGTAATCGCTCCGGCCTGAAGCTGCTACATAATTTCTTCAAATTAACTGGTGAATAGCTTCTAGAGACACTAGCTGTGACTGTGCAAGACCGCTTTTGACCAGCGTTTCAGGGACGTCGTAATGGTCTATGGTACCTCGACGACCTCGTTGAGCTCGTACCGTGAACCATGTTTCCGTGGGAAAATCTTCTGATGTCGTCGGTGTAGAAGGCTGTCTGTGTATTTTGATAGATTAGAATGTGCTCTTTAATATAAAGCTACAGGCTGGGTCGATTTTTTAACAACGTCGCCGTCTATTCATTACGATCGGAAGTGTTGAGGATTGGACGATCGATGCAGTCTATTGCTTTGCGTTTTTATAGGACCGACTATGAGGGCACCACAAACGGTTAGCCACCGTACTGCTACAGTATGCACTATGGTGTAAGTATGATTAGATGGAATTTGTGTGTTGCAACGTAGAGTGGCAACCTTACATGTCTTAAAGGCAAGTAGAAAAGGAACGTTCATCGGTCCGTCAAAATCAACACAACGAAAGACAAAGATTCCTATCTCGAGCCACGGAGGCTCTTTTAAAAACACAAGCCACTAGGGCTCTCCTCAAGGGGCCACTAAAGCTTCTTTGTTCAGGCCACTGAGGCCGATTCGCCACGTAAGGCTCTTCTTTCAGGCCACTGAGGCCAAGCCAATAAGCCAACTAAGGCTCCTCTCTGACGAGCCACTGAGGCTCTCTTCGCAACGCCACAAAGGCTACTCTCTCCGGAGCCTAGGCCCTCCTTCCGACGGACCGTATACAGCTCCCAACCAACCACACCGATAAGGCACCACAGAGATGCCTCTGGAACTGGGATACAGGTACAGAGGAACACCAGAGCTCTGGAACAAATGTACGAGGAAGAAGAAGTACTGCATAGGAACACGGACCTCTCTTATTGGGACAATCCCGCTCAATCGTTTC